ATCTGTCACACACTCAGTCATGGTGTTGATGTTGTCTCCATGAGGTTCACAGAGGACATTCCAGTCTGTGAACTTTCCAGTCTGACATTCCAGTCTAACCCTAACCCTAACCTGTTACTGTTGGAAGTCCTGCAGTAACGGCTTATTATTAGAATAAATGAAACTTTATGATAACCATGTCGGGGATAAACTACAAACTGCCCAGCAGTAAATATTAAAATTGCCTTCCTTTTACCGTTTAAGTGATAAACATCTGTTAAGTGATAAACATCTGTGATCACTCCCTGTGCCCTGTATACCTATGCCTAACATGCCTTGGGGGCTCAGAGGGGTAAAGGTTTCTAAGTAATGAGGGAAGAAAGATCTTTCACTGAGTTGCTTAGAGCAACTGTTAGTAAGGAACAAGGAAGACCCTGAGGGGACAGGGTCCATCCATCAATCTATTTTCCATACAGTTTTCCTCAATTTTATTCTAAAATTTTTATGTATGTATGTATTTATGTATTTATTAATTAATTAATTTTTCAGTTTCTAGTTATTTGAGTGATTATTGTGAATTTTGCTTTTTCTTTCATGGGAGGGTATGAATAAATTTGAAGACGACTATAGCTGCTTATCATTTGGTAGGGCTGGAGCCTATTCTTGCTGACAGAGGGAAAAATGCAGGGTACTCCCTGAACATGTGGCCAGTCTATCACTGGTCAGTGCAGAGACAGACAACCATGTATGCCCACACATATACCTACGATCAGTTTAGAGTCAGGCACAGGGGTGAAACTGAATATTTAGGATGATTTTTTGTGACAACCCACATGGACTTTGGTTAACCCCTTACTGTTAGTGTTGAGCCTTTTGTTTCCATGGATCTACACAGTTTTACATCCACTCTTTGGTCTTTCGCAAGTTTTTGCACAACACCTGTGTTTCATCAGCCGATTACCTCAGTATATTCTTTCCCAGTTGCCAGATTGTCTTTGCACTAATCGCACTCCAGAATTCTTACTATTCCTTCAGTTATTCTGGGATTTCTTGTGTATGACCTGTATGTGTTCCTAACTCATGTTTTTGGCTGATTCTCTATGTTTTGATGCATCATGTGTCCTTGGATTTTTTTCTGTTTCTGTTTTGTGTCCATTTGTCTGCTGCCTGCTCTGCTCTGGTTGCCTCGGTGACTGCCTGCCTGTGTTTGACCTTTGCTCTTTGATACCTGCATTTGAATCTGTACTTGGTCTCAGGACATCACATTAATGAACTGATATGAGGGTACATCAAAAAATTCTCTGCCTCACAAGACAGCATCACAGAAGTATTGTTTCTGCATTCTTTTTTTTTTTTTAACATAACCCCCTTAACTTCAATGCACTTGGTCCACTGATGTTTAAAGTTCCTTATCGCTTCACAGAAGATCACATCATTAGCCTCCAGACTGTCATCATTCTGAAAACAGGGACCACGCAAGTGTGATTTCAGTTTGGAAATAGAAGTCAGGCAGTACCAGGTCGGTGAGTAAGGTTCATGGAGCAACAGTTCTAAGCAACATTTGGCTGCTTCTAACCTTATAGTAGCATAACTAAGGAACAGTTCGTAAGGTCTTCACCTTACTATGATCAGCGCTATGAGCTGACATATGTTGTGAATTGCGCTATATATATAAAATTTAATTGAATTAAATTCAGGTGATCCTGAACAGCTCAAAGCTATAAACTTTATTAAATAGGGACTTTTTAATCCTAATCTTAAAGTAGAGAGGTGTCTGCCTCCAGAACCCAAACTGGGAGCTGATTCCACAACAGAGGAGCTGATAACTGAAGGCTCTGGCTTCCATTCTACTTCTGGAAACTTTGGAACCACAAGTAAACCTGCAGTCTGAGAGCAAAGTTCTCTGTTAGAATGATATGGTACAATAAGGTCTTTAAAGTAAGATGGGGCTAGTCATTAAGAGTTTTATATGCTTGAAGCAGGATTTCAAATTCCATGCTGGATTTTACAGGGAGCCAGTGAAGAGAGGCTAATTCAGGAGAAATGTGATATCACATTTTTTATTAATTTTATTTTCGGTATGTACTGCAGCTTGCCTTACAATGTGCATACTTTGATATGCAGTGTGCATACCATAGAAACATCCTTTTTTAAGACAACATTGCACTTTAGGCTTTGACTGCCCTTTACATATAGTCATTATAGTCTGTAGTGAGAAATAAGCTGTTATTTGTGTGCTCTTAATTGGTCAAGATAATGTGACATTTGCAACATATTTTCCACGATGTAGAAGACTGTAGGTCATAATTGCAAGAAAACATGGCTTTCTATACTGTAAAACACAACCTGATGTGGTAGGACATCCTGGTAATTGTAGTTTACTACATTTAACATACTATAATTGAATGTACTATATCGTTTTGTGGGCTGCAAGGTGGCGTGATGGTTAGCATCATTGCCTTGCAACAAGAAGGTCGTCGGTTCGTGTCTCAGTGAGGACACCCGCGATCTTTCTGCGTGGAGTTTGCATGTTCTCCCCGTGCAGCGTGGGTTCTCTCTGTGTTCTCCGGCTTCCTCCCACAAGGTCCAAAAACTTGCTGAAGTTAGTTGGGGATTGGACTAAAATGTCCATAGATGTGAATGTGAGTGTGCTTGGTTGTCTGTCTCTAAATGTAGCCCTGCGATAGACTGGCGACCTGTCCAGGGTGTCCCCTGCCTTCACCTGTAGTCAGCTGGGATAGGTGTCCCTAGTGAGGATTAAGTGGTGCATAGATAATGGATGGATGGATGAAAATCGTTTTGTGGCATACTTTTTATAGCATGGTAGTATGGATATTTAAATGCACCCTAGTTCTTCATAATTGATGCATCCTCTGGACTACCTCTAACTTGGGACAGACTTAGGATGTACTTTCAGAGCTAAAAAGCTTTGTGATATAGTCTGACTAAAACTTTAGGTGTCTTTAAATTAGGACTAGCACACCCCACATTTTTTAAGACTTTATCTCTAAATCAGCCATTTAGGATTTTAAAAAGTAATTTCTCAGTAATGTTAGTAACATCTTTATTGACCAAGCTGCTACATGAGAAGCTATAGCAGCTATTATAAACACAATATAATAAACTATTATAATATTTGAGAAAAGACAGATAATTAGGTCCTTTGGAATTAGATTCAATTAGATTCTTTTCAAGTTTTAAGCAAACAAAGTAAGACAAAACAAATAAAAGAAATACCATTAAGAGAGAACATTTGAATACATCAGTGGTAAAACCAGCTTGGACCATTTCACCTAAGGCACTATCAACTAAAAAATGGAGAAAAAAAATGCATTTGCGCACATTACATGAGATTAAAGCAAATAAATCTTTTTTTTTTTTTTTTAATCAGCCTTAAGTCCCACTCTATCATTTATTGAGGATGCTTTTTTCTCTTTTCATCAGTAATGAATCTGTCTTCCTTAGGAAAATGCATAACCCCTGTTTTATCTTAAAACCTTCTCTTTCTATTTTTTTTTTCTCTGTCTCTGTCTTTCTTTCTCTTTCTGTTGACACAGGAATCCTGCTGGGAATGTATGCACCACAATCATCACTATTTCTCCTCACAGATGATTCATGTTGTTTTTATTGTTGTTGATTAATAGTCATGCGTAGCTACAGTACATATGAATCTGTGATAAAGTAGCTGTGTTTCTATGAATTGGTGTAGTTTGCTGCTTTTTTTTGATTATCTTTATAGGTACTGTGATCAACCGTTCTCCCTACAAAAGCTGGTATTGATGCCCATGTCTGGCCTCCACTGTGGGATTATCCTGGTCTCACACATGAATGCTGTACACTACTTGTACTTGTTGAGGGGGGATTAAGTGTGTGTATAAGTGCAAATAAAATCAGCATTAGATTAGACTACAATAGCGTGTATAGCAGCAGCCAGCAGTGCGTACAGAAACAACACAGCATGACTTTAGTCAATGGAATTCACCCACAAAGACCTTAAAATGTTAATCGGAGCTGACGTTTAGTTTGTTGCTTCTAGTTGTTCTGTGTTGGAGCCTTTCCTCTAAGTTTTTTAGATACCTACAGCAGCAGACGGAAGCTAGATAATTATGGTCTCCAAAGCGAGAGAGATGCCACATTTATGCACACAACATAACACAGCAGTAACTTCATGAATTACTTATAATTACAGCTTTGCCCTGGTACTAAAACAGAAATCACTAAAACAGGATCTAACAGCAGGTCACACTGTGCACTTTTCATCACCTCAGACAGGTAAGCTGTCATACATACAGTCACAGTTTATAAGCTCCACTTATCATCACTTGTGAAAGAGCTGAATCCTGAGCCCATCTCAGCTGGTTATTATTTTATTGCAAAAGTCTGATCTGTCTATCCATCCATCCATCATTTATCCATCCATTATCTATACACCGCTTAATCCTCTGTAGGGTCACGGGGGGCGGGAGCCTATCCCAGCCCACTCAGGGCAAAGCCAGAGAATCCGGAGAGAACCCACATTGCATGGGGAGAACATGCAAACTCCATGCAGAAAGATCCCGGGGCTCTTCTAGCTGCGAGGTGACGGTGCTAACCACCGAGCCACCTTGCAGCCCCTGATCTGTCTAATAAATCAAAAATATTTAAGTAAATAGTTAGGGGTGTTTTTCCATGGGGCTCTTGGGCTTTTTTCAAGTCCAGATGATGTGTCTGTGTTCTTCTGTTCTCTGTCTGCACTGATTGTTTTTTTTTTTTAGTAATAAACTAATTTCAATTGTCTGTCACTGTTTCTTTTGTTCACATTCTTCAGCATAGCAGCATTCATTATTCTTCCAGCAGCGAATGAAATCAAAATAAAACTTGATTTGTCAGTCCTGTCTAGTTTACAATCATTACTTTCCCCATTCTGACCCTTAAATATAAATTGGACCTGATTGAAATATCAAAACAAACACAAATTCATCGGAACTGGTGCCAAACTATAGCTAAAACAACATGTGTGTCGAAGTTACCTTAAGATCGACAAAGATACATGTGTTTTAGAAAAATCACAATCACCATTCTCTGGGTGAATGTCTGACTTGTATCAGTAGTTAAAAAGAATGACAAACATTTGCAACCAACTCCATGTCCTACAAATGTTTTCTCAAAGTCTTTCTTATTCTTTCTTTTTTAAATGTATTATAGGGCTACAAGGTGAAACAAAAAGCGGGTCAGTTTTCTTTGCTATGGCCCAAGTACTGGGTGGTGCAAAGGCTCTTTTGTTTCTGACAGAATTGTTCTTCTTCTTGTAAACCAAATCACATTTTTAAAGGGCTAAAGGTGTTTGACTCATGAAATTTAGCACATGTCTGAGAAATGAAGACATGGGACCCCTGAAACATGAGTTCTATGTTTCAGGGGTCTTGGACATGGATGTGGCAATATGTTTTGATACTGCCCCCGACAAAACTGCAGCGTTGCAGACCCCATATTACTTTTTACCTAGATGTATCAAATTCAGTATTCACATGTCCATGCTTTAAAAAAGCCTCTTGGAGCCATACCCAAAGTCCCACAGGAAGTCAGTCATTTTTAATTAATAGTGCCATTGTTGTCAGGGTGTTGCCATGTAAAGCCATTGGAATTTAACAAACTCCACCCTAGAGAATTCAGTGGACTGACAAAATGGAAAATTTAGAATCACCAATTAACCTCAGCATGTTTTTGGACAGTGGGAGGAAGCCAAAGAACCCAGAGAGAACCCACTCTGCACAGGGACAACAATGCTAACTCCATGCATGCGAGATGACAGTGGTAACTACCGAGCCAACTTGCAGCCCCTCCATTAGCATACTTTGTCCAATTTTTTACTGAGATTTCTCAGGATTGATCATCATGATACACCCACATGTCAATATCGAGTTACAGACACAGCGCCACCTACTGGCTACAAGTTACAAGTTCTGTACTTTTACAATCTCTGCCTAACAAGTTAACTAGATCCACTTCAAATTTGGTCAGAAGAGCCTTAACATCTTGATGATTCATGTGAGTTTTTAATGAATGTTGTTTCATATTTCAGTATGAAAAGAGAAACTGATGCCTTTTTATTTCATGTCTTTCCAAAATATCACTTGACTGTTTTCTAGCATCAGATCCGCAGGTGGAAAATTTCTCCTTAAAGTGGGAGATTTTGGCCTTCCTGATGGTCTGTGCAGTTTTATTTCCACATTGCCTGAAGGCAAACCAGTCAACAGGGAACTGAGAGGAACGGGCTTTCTTCAAAAGGGCATTCTTAGATAAGTTCTGACAAGTCTTGGGAGAACCAGGGGCTGTAACAATTCTTGGTCCTAAATGTTTTCAGAGGGGCGTGTTTGTTGATGATTGAGCTGAATGTATTCTTGAAAAGGAGGCCAGGCATCATTTACGGAGGGGAAAGAATTAATTCTGTCCCAATTTACTGCTGCGACATCTTGAAGAAAGGCCTGCATGTCAAAGTTCTTCAGAGCGTTTGGTCACAATCACAGACCGTTTTTTTAACTGAGCAGCTTGACCGTGCACATGCAATGACACAGTGATCGCTCATTTAACTGAAGACAACAGATTGATAGTTGGAAGGGGTGTTAGTAATAATGAGGTCAATCAATTTGGAGGATGAGGAAGATTTGGGGTTAGGTCTGGTAGGCTCAGATACAATTTGGGAGAGGTTTAAAGCATCAAATTGCTGCAATACTATGTCTGGTGGGTTGATCATATTCCAGTTTAAGTCACCCAGGAGAACAATTTCTGAAGAGACGTATGGTACGAGAACTTCGCTCAGTGCAGTAAGTGTGGAGGCTGGGGCAGAGGGTGTTCTGTAGCAGACAGCAGCAGTGATAGAAAAACTTGTTGAGAGTTTTAGCTTTAACGCCAGTATCTCAAATTGTTTAGGGACTGACTTGGAAAGTGCAACAGTACAATGCAGATGATCTTTAACATACATAGCTACACCAACCCCCCCGGAAGCTCTGTCCTGTCAAAATACATTGTAGCCTGGAATCAGAATATCAAGATCGGAGTTTCTTTTCCTGAGCCAAGATTCAGAGATAGCTAGGACGTCAGGATTAGCAGCATGCACCAATGATTTTAAATTGTCAAAGTGCTTCGTATTTAGCAGACTACAGATGTTTACATGTAAAAAGCCTAAACATTTACGAACACAGAAATCACTAAATGACAATTGAGAAGGGGTGGGGTTATCTCAAGCAGGCCCAGGATTTGGGTGAACATTACCAGAAATAGTTAACATAAGAATGATCAATATGCGCCTGAAAACCTTCCGAAAACAATGCTGATGATTATAATTCACAGAAGATTTTACCAAAAGCATAGAATGAGAGTCAAGCAGCTGCTGCAGCAACATAAGTGAATGACACAGAGCGAGATGAACTGTGTGAGAGGGAGGGAGACCAACAGTTTTAGTGATCCAGTAGGATGAGCTGTCTCTGAAGGGTAGATTAAAATTCAATGTGCCGCCTCCATAGGACACGATAACAGCCGCAGGTAAAACGTTACTGGCAGGCTCAAGAACCTGGGTCTGTGCAAGTAGCAGAGAGACAAACAGAAATGGCTTGAAAACCAAAAGAGGTTTTATGAGGAAATGCATGTCTGTACCAATAAACAGCACAAAAGCCACCTGGAGGTAGTGAGGTAGTGAATGTCCCAGATCCAGGTTCAGGCTGTAGCAGGTGGAGGGCCAGGCCAAAACAGGCTGAAGCTAGTGGAGGTCCAGGCTGTAGCAAGTGGAGGGCCAGGCCAGGCCAGGCTGAAGCTAACAGAGGTCCAGACTGAGGCAGGTGGAAGGCCAAGCCCAGACAAAGCTAGCAGAGGTCCTGGGTGAAGCAGGTGGAAGGCCAGGCCAAGCCAAAGCCAGCAGAAGTTCAGGCTGTAGCAGGTGGAAGGCCAGGCCTAGCAAAGGCCAGCAGAGGTCTAGGCTGGAGCAGGTCACATGCTGCTCCGGTAGATGCTACCAGGTGTCTGCAGTGCAGCTCCTCTGACAGGTGAGCAACCAAACATTTGTTGAAAAACAGTGGAAAGTGCATTCTACACAAAATTGCCCAAGTTGAAAAATTTTCTATTAATAGCATTTTTAGCAGAATCCAGATTGTCCGGCAGGCCAGCATAATCTTTGTCGTCATGTCTTTACTTGTCAATTGATAATGAACAGAGATTTCGTTTTAATTTTTGTTGTCAGGGCTTCTTAAGTTTTCATTGACAAAATGAACACTGCCCTGGGGTCAGATGTGCCCCCCCCTGGCATCGCACCACGCCCCCTGGGGGAGGAGCGCCCCACTCTTTGAGAAGGATTGCATAAAGGTAACCAAACCAGATTATTTCAGAGAAATGCGAACCAACAAAGATGATCTCACTGTGGATGAGCTAAAATGATTTCGTAGGTCTCACATCATTGGAAAGAGTAGCGCAGAACTATTTCATAATTTGAGTAATGCTAAACAGCAGGATAAGGAGACCCCACAACAATTCATGTATAGGATCATAGGTCTCAAACAGCGTGTTCTGTCAGCCTCACAACAAAGTAACACTGAATTCAGTTATGAGAAAAGACTGGTCCAAGGTACATTCCTCCATACACTTCATCAAGGTTTAGCTGAAAAAAGCAGTCACATTAGGAATGATCCTAAACCTTACCTCAAAGACTTGAATGTGACTGATGATTACTTG